CTTTTCCAACCCAGTTGATTCTATGCCAATCATAGCACACTCCATATGCAGTTTGTTGTATTCACCTCCAACATAGCAAGCTCTTCCTTGGACAGCAAAATGCACTGGAATTGAGATGAAGTATGAATGTATGAATGAAAATCTGTCTTTACCTATCACTCTCTTGCTGTGTGAGCCACTCACACAGATGTAACACACCTGCAATGCTGCATTAAGGTCTCTACTCTCAGAGGGTCATGACTAGATGTTGCTCCTGGAGTCTGCACTTTCTTAGCTTCAGTAACAGCATCTCAAATGGTTATAGGAATCCACTCGGATTTCTCAGTTCTCTTTCATTTCTTAGAGGTTCAGTGCTCCCAAACCAACAACCTTAAATTGTGTGAAATCAAGGAATCAAGTGATAGACACAAGTGAAGCAGATGGAGATATTAATTACTAAAGTGTTTGCAGAGCTTTACTGTCCCTTGGAAAGCAAAGCCTATAGCCATAACTCACAGCTGCTACAAGGCACAAAATTCCTTCTTGAAAGAAATCCAACTGGGTAAAACCTGTCCCAAAATCCTTTCTTGGAGGATAGCTCTCTCTCGTGGCCGAAATGCAGAACAGCTTTGAGTGGCTCTGCCAACCACAACTGGCACGAAAAGGAGAAATTTCTCAGCAGTAAATCACCATATCCCAAGACTCACTAAAAACCAACTGATCTCTCTCACACTGACTATTTTTGGGCCTGCATAGATTTGTTTCACACACTGATATTTATGTAGTGACTACACTGACCTCTTTTACTTTAATAAAGCATAAATATACTTCCATATAGTTAAAGAATATTAGCAGACTGTGATTCTAAAAACACAGCTTTTCTTGGGAAGGAAACTTAAATGACTTCATTACATGCATATCTGCTTATCTTTAATTTTGCATACTTTTTCCCTTCATTAGGGACCTTCTTTCCTTGGTGAGAACTATTATCACCAAAACTGACAATATTTCTGTAAAAATAAAGTTTAAAATAAAAAGATAAAAGAATCTAAAAGTGTACAGAAACATCAGAGAAATAATCCCTGGGCCTGTAAGTAAAGAGTGAGTCACCCAAAACTCCTTCATTACAGTTTTATGTTAAACACATTCAGACATCACTGTGAAAGGCAACAGTAACAGAAATAGTCACATCTGAAAACTAGGAATTATGAATTATGTGGGGGGAAAAATTATCTTATCCTTATTTACTTCTACTGTGGTTTGGCCCAGGAAAGTGACTTCTTAAAGCACAGCAAGTCCTGCATTTTCTAAGCTTGCTGAGTGGCCACAGTTTACCATCACTGCATTCTTCTCACTTCCCAGCAGCACAGTGCACGAATTCTTCCAAGACTCCTTCCTCTACAACCTCATCAAATCCTAAAGCAAAAGGAAAATCTCCTCTTTCAACAATCCAAGTGTTATCCTAAGGACCAGGATAATGTCAGTGACAGTGCAAACCCTGCACTAACCATGTTGGAGTGGATCCCTGACCTCCTGAAAGCGATTTATGCCAGACACAAACAGCAGAGCAGTTCTTTTTGATTTGGGACTATCATACCTCTGTCATTTCTAGTGCCTTATTGTAGCCCAGAGACAATAAAGTGACCCAGAGGTCACTAGGATCCCCTTCCCGGTCACTGGCTTCCATGAGATTCAAATCCAGAAATCCTTGTCTTGTTAGTTCATTCTTCTTCATATCGAAATTCTCTGTTTAAAAGAAAGCAGCACTTAGAAGTCTGTTCTCTTTGCAAACAGCATTTATCCTTCCAAAGCCAAATTCCCACTCAAGTTAACAAGGTTTAAAAGATGGAACAGGCTGTGGCTGCCCCAACCCTGGCAGTGTTCACAGCCAGGTTGGATGAAGCCTTGAGCAACCTGCTCTGGTTGGAGGTGTCCCTGCCCAGGGCAGGGGGTTAGGGCTGGATGATCTTTAAGCTCCATTCCAACTCCTTAACATTCTATGATTCTATGGAATAATCCAAGCTTCTGCTTGGGGAATGACAGAAAGTGTTTAGCTCAGTGTGCACGCAGCAGGTTTGCTCCTCAGGCCAATCCAAGACAGCACACGACACCAAGAAATCCTGTACATAGCCAAAATATAGCCCCAAAGTATACACTGACAGTAAACTGAGCACAGGATGGACTAGGAACAGCTGTGGCCTCTTGGATAACCCAAAAGAGGGTGAGATTTCAAAGCAGAAAGGGTTCATAATGATTTTCTTTTTGCTGCAAATATTTGTTGTGGTTGAGCTTTGCAGAATGAGTATTTTAGGACTGGGAAACAAAAGTCAGCTGGAATCAGCACCCTGAGTGCTTGAGGCCCTTGCTGTAGGAATGATTTACTTAGTTCCTAAAAAGCAATAAAATGCCAGTAATCCTAACAGCCCTCTCTGGAGAGAACATCAGAGATTGACCACTCTAATCTCAGCAAACACATAATTGAAATGTCCTTGTGTCAGAGAGGTTTAAAAATGGTTTTCTCATCTTCATAACAATGCTAAATCTTTACTATATATTATTAAAAAGGGATTAGCAATTTAATAAATCTGTCCAAGGGTACAGATGCTGTAATAGATGGCTTGAACTTTGGTGCCAAGATTTACGATATTATCTGAACCCTCCAACTGATTAATGACCTGGTAAAACATTCACCATGTTCTCCTCTTTCCTCTCTTATTTATTCCCACATACTTACTCCTCCTACTCCTGTGGAGATCACTGCACAGAGGCCAAGTCCAAGTGTGGAAAAGCATATAAAGATGAGAAACTCAGGTACAGGAAAGTATATTTGTATGAGCTTTCTATTAGTTAGGAAAAAGTCCAATACACTGAAGTGCTTTGGGGAGAAATAATTAGTAGGACTTGCTAGATCTAAAGTATTTTGGCCAATGTGTCACAGCCTACAAAGTAATTATATCAAACATGATACAGCCTGATACACAATGACATCTCACACTGACAAGATAAACTCTAGATACCATTTTTATAGCATATATACACTAATTGTCCCTCTCAACACTGCAAGATTTCAAAGCTTTATGTGCAGAAAGGAGATTGATTAAACAAATACCTGTTAAGAGTTTCATTCACCATATAATCCAGGATTAGAAAACCTGTAGGTTTTGGCAGCTACAAAACAATTAGCAATGGGAAGAACTTTCTCAGCAGAAGGTCAGTGGCACAAACAGCAGAATGAAGCGAAGCAAAGCAAAAGACCGGAGACTGGAAAAGGAAAGAAAGAAAAACATAGGAGAAGAGAACAGTATCTACATGTGTTCTTGGAACAGACTACAGAATACCCAGTCCTATACTATACACATACAGCTTGGAAGGAAATTGATAGCCTTAATTAGTTGTATCAATCACAGCAACGAACTCACCCTTACACACAGCCCATGCCTCCTCATCACACTTCTCACCACTGGTTCTCAGTTCAAAGAAGTTGTATTCCTCCAAGCTCAGGAGGCCATTCCCATCCAGATCAATGGTCTCAAATATATCCAGTAAAGCAGCTCTAAAAGATAAAAAAGGCAAAACTGTGTCCAGATACTTCCATTTCCTTTACTGTCTCATAATTCTGGCAGTAGCTGTTCAGTCTATTTGAGGATAATCTGTACCAGCAGTACTTTAGGAACACCTAGGTTTTGAACAGCTGGATTTTAGCTGGAGCACACGCAGGTTCCCTGTTTGGGAATACACTCACTGAAAGTCTTTGGTCAGAGTCAGTTCTCCATCTTCATCTCTATACACCAGTCTTGCTTCTCCAGGAGTTTGTGTCTTCACCTTCTTCAACCTACAGCCCGTGGTGAATGGGAGCAGCCAGTAAGCACCAGATCCAAGCTCCCCTTTCCATCCGAACATCTGCTCTTAAAGGAACACAGGTGAGTTTCAAAGTTACCTCTCAAATGATGCCTTTATGACTAGTAATATTCAAAAAAAAGTGATTAATGACTTGAAAACACTGGCAATGCTGTCTTCTCTCCCTGAAGGGACAGGGCTGTGTGACTGTGCCACTTTAAAGACACAAAATATAGTGAACATCTTAGAATTAAGGCTGGAAAAACACACAGGACCAAAGATGAGGGGAGAAGGAGAGATCAGTTAACACTGCCATTTCTCTTCCCTTATTTCTGCCACAGGATAAGGATGTTCTGTGCACTATGGATTTCAAAATTATATATGGAGGATAAAGAAAATTAAAGGAAATTTACACAGATTTGGCCTTGGAATTTTGGGTTTGAAGGAGCAGGAATACAAGTGAGTTTCCACAGAGTATCTATCATGGTAACCTGCACAAAGGAACATGCACAGTCTAAGCAGGTGCAGTTCCAACCACATGGAACTCACCCATGCAGCATTAACACACTAATGAACTAAGAATTACAACAGGAACACATCAGAAAATATCTAACCTCTTTGTTTTGTACTTCAGTAAAGCTCACGAGCTGTAGATTCTCTTGGCTTTCATTCTCCTTCAGGATAAACAAAGCTGTATCCACTGACAGCCAACGACAAGGTTTTCCTAAAGAGAAAAGCATTCCCAACACAAATGCTTAGTAATGGCACAAAACTGGTTTTCTCTGAATCTCAAAGGAGATATTCCCACAGTATTTATAATATTGCTCCCTGGTAATGGAAGGCAGAAAACCAAAATCTATGATGTGCTATTGGAATTTCCTTCCTAGTTAGGCTCATCAGATAAATTGCTCCAAGCCTTGTGATTGTCTTACAGATAATGATTCCTACAGACAATTCAGTTATTAAGAACTATTGATAGACTACATTCTCATTAAGAGCCAGGAATACCAAAGTCTGTTGATCACCTAACAGGTAGGAGTTGGAAAATTACTATTTTCCATCAATTATTTGCAGTGAAGTTTTTATAACCAACCTCAATCAAAACCAGTCACCAACCTGGAGCGCAACAGCCAGTCCAGATGAGTCTAACACACCTTTGGGGCCTAATGGCTCTTGTTTCACAGGATTAAAGATCTAAAAATAATCTACTTGGAAGGGGGAATGTAGAAACTAGAGGAAAACCCTTGGTAAATCAGCAGAGGGGACAAAGCCAATAGTGTCTGGAAGACACTGACTGCTCTCAGGTGGGGCTATTGCTGGTTTCACTCTTTGAAGAGGAGAATGAAATACAGACATACCTTCTACCTGGGGAAGATTTAAGGGTTTGATGGTAACACAAACTGTGGATCTTTGAGGTAAGTGCAACCTGTACTTGTGGCTAATGATTTCCCCATCTTCTTCCAAGTAGAAGCATCCTTTGGATTGTGCACATTGCCATTCCTGGAAACCAAGCAGATAATAGATGTTGGCATCACCTTTGATCCAAGACAAAAGTGCCTTCTCTGAAACATTAATTGACTTGATTGTTTAATGAATCCTGCATAAAATACATCACAAATACAGCACTGATAGACTTCTTTTTAAAGAAATTATCTCAAATAGTCCTTTTTGTAGTCAATTTTTGCTTCACTTGTGAAAATGCCTGAAAAACATAGAGATTACCCCAATGCTCAAATAGATTAACTGACATTTGAATTGCCACAAGAATCTGAACCCATTAAATTCTATGAACTGTGTGATCTGCCACCAAAAGGTTGGAATTCTGCTACATCTCTCAGGCCACTCGAGCAAGCAACAGCACT